ACTCACATTCTATAATAATACCATCTTTACAAACAAAATGTTTTTCCTTGTTATTGAGCTTCCAAACATTGCAAATCATGAAGTTGGGGTTGAATTTCTCACTTAAAGTATAAAAGTTGATTTCAGATGTTTAAGATTTTATCTATGAAGATTACTTCTTTCTTTCTTTTTACAGTTCCAAAGTATAAATGACAAAATACCCTGCAATAATATATTCTTATCCCTGTGTCCTAAAGCATTTCTCGTCCTGATCCTGTATCAAAATTGAGTATTTCCTTGGACAAAGGCTTGATATCAATTATTCTGAAAGCTAGGTTATGATGTTTGTCGATGTCATAAAACCATGTGTGGTGGTTAAACAACCAATTGATAGAACAAATTGGACCCTCTAATATAGGCACTGTTCTACGTGACACTGGCAAATGCAAAGCATGCACTTGAATATGCACATATCTGTACACTGAGCATAAATGCGCTTAAGAAGTTGTTCTTCCTTTTTGGGCTGGTCCTAGAATATAGAACAATAGAGTTGGAAGGCACCTTGGAGGTCTTTTAGTCCAACACCCTGCTCAAGCAGAAGATGCTATACCATTTCAGACAAATGATTGTCCAGTCTCTTAATGAAAGCCTCTAGTGATGGAGCATCCACAACTTCTGAAGCCAAGCTATTCCATTGATTGATTGTTTTCACCATTAGGAAATTTGTCTTTTGTTCTAGATTGCTTTTCTCCTTGGTTAGTTTCCATCTATTGATTCTTGTCTTGTCTTTTAGTGCTTTGGAAAATAGTTTGACCCCCCCTGGTCTTTGTAGGAGTCCCTCAGATATTGAAATACTGCTATCATGTCTCCTCTAGTCCTTTTCATTAGACTAAACATACGCAATTTTTGTAAACATTCTTCATATGTTTTAGGCTCCAGCCCCCTATTTATTCTTGTTGCTCTTCTTGGTACTTGTTATTATTTTGTTATGACCAGAACCGGATGCAGTATTCCAAGTGGGGCTGTTCTAAGGCTTTGTAAAGTGATACTAATACTTAATGTAATCTTGATTCCAGCCCTCTATTAATGTAGCCTGGGATTGCATTGGCTTTTTTTGGATGCTGTTGCACACACTGTTGGCTCATATTTCAGTGATTTTCCACTAGGACCCCAAGATCCCTCTCTCAATTACTTGTACTAAGCCAAATTTCACCTGGTCTCTACCTATATAATTAGTTTTTCTTGCCTAAGTATATAAACTTACTTTTATCTATGTTGAATTTCATTTTGTTAGTTAGATTAGCGCGCAGTGTTTAAGACTGTAAAAATCTTTTTGGATGTTGAGGTTGTCTTCGGGGGTATTGGCTATTCCTGCTAGCTTAATGTCGTCTGCATGAATTCTCCTTCTATTCCCTCATTTAAATCCTAAATTTAGGAGGCTTTCTCTTTGATTAGATTTAATGCCCTCTTGACAGCTGTCACTGAAAGGAGATACCAGGGCATTCAGTTTGAACAAAGACAATGCTCTGTGGCACCTGATCAATCGAGACATTGACCCATGTTGATTTGTATTGTTTCCATTATATTGCTTCACACCAGGAGCTATTATTCCCACTGTGAGACACCTGTCCTGGTTGCTCAGGTTCATTTTATCTAGCTCTACTGCTGTTTGACCAATCTGACCAATGAATGTAGCTAAATACTGTTTTGTTTGTCTGTTATTTGCCATAATATATCAGTAAGCAGCTGCTATGCATCGTTTCAGTCAAAAAAGTTGATTATTTATCTTTTGGTTTATTTTGCTTTTTAAAAATTATATATAGTTTCACAATTTTATATATTATTGTTCATTTTCATTACAGGTAGTCCTCAAATTACAAGCATAACTTAGCCCAAAATTTCGTTGCTAAGCAAGGCAATTGTTAAGTGAGTTTTGCATCATTTTACGATGTTTTTTTCCCTTCAATTGATAAATGAATCTGGCTTCCCCATTGATTTTGCTTGTCAAAAGTTTGCAATAGGTGATGACCTGTCTCTAGGTCAATGCAACCATCATAATGGATAATCAGAGTCAGAAGGGACCTTGTAGGTCAACTAGTCCAACCCCCTGCCCAAGCAGGAGACCCTACACCATTTCTGACAGATGGGAGTCCAATCTCTTCTTGAAAGTCTCAAGTGAATACATAAATACATGCCAGTCGCTAACACATCGGAATTCTGATCACATGACCATGGGGATGTTACAATGGTTGTGAGTGTGAAAAACAGTCATATGTCACTTTTTGAAGTCTGTTGTAATTTTTAATAGTCACTAAATGAATAGTTGTAAGTTGAGGACTAAATGTGCTACTTTAGGGAATTGTGTGTTTTAATTTTGGAATTTGTTGAGTTGGTCTATGATCATAATAAATTAAATTGAATCAAATGGACATAATTTTAGAAGTACAATAAGTTACTTTGTTTTCATAATTGCAAACTACTTTGGTAAAATTTAGAGTTGATGTGTCCATCATGATGATTCAGACAGAGAAATGAACCAAGCGGGGCTTCTGGTTAAGAAATGCCTCTTCAGCAGAAGTTGGCAGGCTTGGCTGCAGCAATTTCTTCAAATTGCTACAGACTCCCCACTCCTTATATAGAAAGCTATCTAAAGCAGAAGAAACCTCCCTGGGGAAAGGAGATCAAAGAAATAAACCACATTGTGACTTCATGTCAGGGTATCATTGCACACCAAATGCTAAGACAATGAGTGGCTGAACTGAACTGCAACTACTTTTTGGTAAAAATCAGGAGGAGTCTAATAACATCTTTTCCATCACATTTTATTAAAAGACATGAACTTCTGTGGGCAGTAGCAAAGTTTATCAGTTCTGTACAACGGCTAGACTAATGTTGGGTTGAAACTGGGTTGATGTAGGGGGAGGAAGAGAAGTTAGCTAGGTTATGCACACAATAAATTATACAGTATGTCAGTCAGTTTACAAATATTTTATCAATTAATGCTAACATTTATGTTTTATATATGTTAAATCATATTTGTTTAATTTTAAAATGTTAGCATCATTTGATATGTTGTATATACTAAGCTACAGTTTTAATTTCATAGGATTCCCTCACCCTCATGAGATCCTTGGGGAGGTTACTGGAGACAATAATTAAAGGAACTGGGAAAAATCTCCTGATGGAAACAAATTTTCAGACTACTTTACACAAAACATATGGCAGTATCTAATAGATTGAGATTGAGATCAAGATAGATAGATAGATAGATAGATAGATAGATAGATAGATAGATAGATAGATGATAGATAGATACTGTCTGTCTGGCTGTATCAGTGGTGGGATTCAACTAGTGTTACTACTGGTTCGGTGACTACGTTTTGCTTCCCTCAAGCCTCCAGGAGGGTGAAAACGGCCTCAAACGGGCCACAAATCAGCTGGGAGGGGCGCGCACATGCGCAGTACAGGTAAGTGTGGCTGGGGCTTACATGCCCACACAAATGGCTCTGCATGCCACCTGTGGCACACATGCTATAGGTTCGGCATCACAGAGTTACACCGTCAAAATCAATTTTTCAACATCTCATAATATTTATGTTTTCCTTTTCTACAATTTTTTTTAACACTAGCGTATCTAGTATTCTGCTATTTAATCCCATTTCTTGACATATCCTCATCATTCTTTTACATTGCTAATACTCCTTCCACACCCCCACACTTCAATATTTTTTTCTCTAGATACCCATTATATACTATCTTTCTGTCGTGGTATTGGTCTATAGATAGTCCTCGGCTTCCAGCCACAGCTGAGCCCATTTTTTCTATTGCTAAGTGAGACAGTTGTTTGGCCCCATTTTGCCACAATTGTTAATTAGTGATTAAGTGGATCACTGCAGAGGTTTAGTTAGTAACACAGTTGTTAGATGAATCTGGCTTCCCCGTTGACTTTGCTTGTCTTACTGCTTATCTTATGATTACCTGCATTATTCTTTTGTTCATTCCAGCGCACAGTACTCTGTATGCAGTAGTCATTATCAGAGAACTTCTCACACTACTGCTCAGTGTAGTTTGGGTTGACCAAAGTTGCTGGATAAAACTTTCATTAGTGCTTAAAGGTGCTGAGCTTGTCCACTGAAAAGCAGACAGCTTGGGTTCAAGATCTGAGTGTCATTGCGATGAGGTGAGCTCCAGTAACTTACCCCAGCTCCTGCCCACCTAGCAGCAAATTTGAATTGATAAACAGGTACCATTTTGGTGGGAAGGTAACACCGTTCCATGCGTCTTGGTGTATAGTCATGTTGGCCACATGATGATAGAAATGTCTTCATATGAGGTTGTCTCCCTTGGCAAAGAAACGGAGAAGAGCACCACCCCCTAGAACAGGGGTGTCAAACTGAAGGCCTGAGGATTGGATCCGGGTACTTAGATCTGGCCTGTGAGGCAGCCCTGGAAACAGCAAAGGACCTTCCTGCGGTGCCTCTGCCAGCAAAAACTGTTTTTTGCTGGCAGGGGGTTGCAGGAGGCCATTGCAGTTGAAAACTGAGATCTCAAGGGCTGCACCACAGGTGCCCCCAACATGATGTCAAGCTGGCCACAACCACCTCATCCATGCCCACCCCAGCCCCCCGAGGTCAAACACAATCCTGATGTGGCCCTCAATGAAATTGAGTTTGACACCCCCTGCCCTAGAGAAGGACATGACGGGATGGTGGAAACCACGACTGGACAAGGGGCACCTTTACCTTTACTTTTAAGATACAGAAAGTACAGGTAGTCCTCGACCTACAACAGTTTGTTTAGTGACTGTTCAAAGTTACAACAGCACTAAAAAATATGTGGCCATTTTTCACAGTTACTACTACCTGTGCAGCATCCCCATGGCCACATGATCAAAATTCAGATGCTTGATTCATATCAAAATGAATGACACTCAGACAGCATGCTGTCCATGAAATGATATTGATATATGTTTAAAAATAAAAAATAAACTTTACAAAAAAAATTCATATTCACTTAACAACTAGGTGACTAACTTATCAACTACAGCGATTCATTTAACAACTGTGGCAAGAAAGGTTGTAAAAAATGGGGCAAAATTCATTTAACAAATATCTCGCTTAACCACAGAATTTTTGGGCCCAATTGTCGCCATATGTAGAGGACTACATGTATAGACAGATTGTCAATCTTAATCCTACCTGTGGCATATGAAGCATTCTGGCTCTTTTGGGCCAAAATGATATAAGCACAACCAAGGCCCATTTATCCCAAGCATGCTCACATTGTTTTATGCTACTTAGGGTTTCTGATGTACATGACATAACAAAGAAGCGTACAAAAAGCTAAGGCTGGAAATTTGAGAACTCTTTGTTTCTTCCCCTACACTCAAGAGTGCAATTTGACATTTCTTCTGGGAGAACATGTGAAATGCGCTGATTCTCTTTAGTTTCCTAAAGTCAAGTAGTTCCAAGTAATAGGATGGAAGTTCTACCTGCTTCAAGTTTCTCTTTATCGCTCTAAAGAGATACATTTCCTCATAAAGTTGATGGTTTTGGTCTTGAAAGAACTCACCTAGCATTAAAAGGAAGTATGTGGTCATTTATAAATGCTAGTTACAAGGTACATTGAAAGCTCACCTCTAACAAGGAAGTAAGTACAATGACAACCACCGCTAACACACTGCTTTTTTAAAAATCAAATAATAAAACAAGGCGATGATCTTTTTTCTTTTACTGGTGCTAAGCCTCAGATTGCAACAGTGATCCATTCACAAGAAGCTATTATAACAGCATTAGCTGTTCTGGCTCTCAAAAACAAAAAAACAAAAAAAACATTAAGAGTGAAAGAGTAACTATGCTCTTTGTTTGGGCTTATAAATAACTACTGAGAGGATTTTTCACACAGCATTAATGGCTCATGATTCAGATATCCAACACCTTACCTTCCTCTGTCTACACATCATTGTGTCTCTCCTTCAATCAAACAAACCTGGCTTTATAAAAGTTAGCCCCAGTTTTCTTTGAACAGAAATGGGCCATCTGAGATCAATCCTAGGCATGCCATGAACTGTTTAAAATCTTCATCTGTTCAAAATCTTCATTGGATAGGCTTGAGCAAGCTTTCTCAGCCAGTCAAACCTAGATGACATAGTGGGGAAACACACACACACATACACCCATCAGGAACAGTGCAAAATTCACTGAGTTAGTTTTGCAAAGTATCTGTTTTCACCTTAACATCATTAGCCTGTACTAAAAGGTGAGGCCTTGCTGCAAAAGTGAGCAGATCTAAGTGGAATGTTAAGTAAAATTATGAAAAAAAGTAATCAAATAAAGCCAAAGTGCAGACTTTTTCTAAAATGCCCCTCCCTAACTCCCCCACTCAAGAATTCATGTTGTTTTTTGTACCATCATCATTAGTGTTTAGTGTTCCAATATGAGGGCACATTTCATCAGCATATTATTTAAATTGTTTTGGAAGCTTCAATAGAGAGTCAACATTGTATTATTTAAAAAGCTGAAGCTAGATTTAAGTCCATGCTAACCACATCCTCAGTCATGCTCTAAGCTCAGCCTTTTGTGTTAGACAAGTGGAGAACTGTTATGGAGGCAAAGCATGATATTAATCTAACAGATCTTTATGAACATCAACCCCTTCAATTTTCAGTTCTTCAGCAATTAATTACAGGGTGGCATGAAAATGGATTGAGACATTCCCTGAAATCTAAAGGTTGCAAAGGGGAAAAAAACTACATACATATGCTTTTTAAGACTGTAGAAAGATCAGTCTTAATCTAGCCCTCTCTCTATATATATGGACAAAGAGTTATGCTCATGGTTGAATGTAATTTTACTCTACAAATGTATCATATATACACAGGTTTCTGTACACAGAAAGTAACCCTTAATATATACCTTTGTAAGAGTGAACTTTTCCATAACATACAGTCTTTTAAAACGCAACTAACCATAAGATATGATTGCTTTTATGTAGAGTGCTCAAATGTGAATCTGTTTTATGCAAAGTATATAAAACACAAACAGGGGTTCGAGCAATCCCCAGGCATTACTGACTATTACTGACATTACTGACTGTTACTGACAACAGGTTTTCTATTGATGGATCATGTCCTTTAATTCTAAAAGAAATCCATACCAAATGGATTTGACATTCCTATCTCCAAGGAGTCTACATGTATACCATTTGTTGTCGTAGAGCTCTACATTGCCCAATATATAACAACGTGGGATGTTTCCAGATGTAATGATGCTTGGAGTATATTAACTTTTGTAACTTTTAATATGGTTGTTCAATATGTCTGGAACCCTCATTACGTATCTGATATTAGCACAATTGAGAAAGTCCAGAAATATTTCACAAGAAGAGTTCTCCACTCTTCTACTCGTTGTAGAATACCTTATGCCACCAGACTTGAAATTCTAGAACTAGAAAACCTTGAATTACGCCGTCTTCGGTCTGACTTAAGCATGGTATATAAAATCATACATTGCAATGTCCTACCTGTCAATGAATACTTCAGCTTCAACCATAACAACACAAGAGCACACAATAGATACAAACTCAAAGTAAACCGCACCAAACTTGATTGCAGGAAATACGACTTCAGCAATAGAGTGGTCAATGTCTGGAATACTCTACCCGACTCTGTAGTCTCTTCCCCAAACCCCAAAAACTTTAACCTTAGACTGTCTACTATTGACCTCACCCCTTTCCTAAGAGGTCTGTAGGGGGGCGTGCATAAGCGCACCAACGTGCCTACTGTCCCTGTCCTATTGTTTCTCTTATTCTTTTATTTTTCTTATATGTACCCATTTCATGTATTCACAACTATGTATACACTTATACTTATTATCTTGTAAACAATTGGCAAATCAAATAAATAAATAAATAAAAAATAAATATGGTTGCATCAGACTCATTGCAACATTGAAGGATAACTATTGAATTAAAACAATTAATTTTTAAAAAAGTTTTCATAAAATCACAGCTGTGTTTGTCTATTTCACTGAGATGCAGCCCTTCATACCCTCATTCTTAATATGTGCATTTAACAGCAGGATATTTTCCTGATTTTGTGATCTAGCATTTTTGGGTATTGCTCTATATTAAACAATAGCAAAGCAGTGGTCAACTGTAACAGATGAGTTAGCAAAAGCCAGAAGGCAAGATGAACAAAAAGACTGTGCAGGGTAATATCAGGAATTAGGAGGACTGATTTTGAAAGAAAAAGGTTTTATTGCTGAAAAATGGATTCAAACCACATGTAATATGAGTCCAAGTACATTCCAAGATATCCAATGAAAATTTAAACTTGATGATTCTAAAACAGATTGAATTTCTGGTGCAGTGACATATTATCCTGAAAAGGGAAAAATAGATTAAGAGGAGTAGGAACAATGGCCCAGTAGAGGAACAATGATGATTGACTTCACTATGAAAGTCTGAATTAAATTTCTCTAAATTAATTTTTCTTATAGCTTGTTTCAGTGCTATGAAACTATACAGCTGGGCTTGGAAAATTGTATGCCAATTTTTGGATGACTGTGATTGGAAAGCATAATGTTCTATCACAATTTCTGCAGCAGATGTGAACGTTTGTGAGACTGAAGAAGCAAGGACATACTTGCCTTTCTTTTGTTAGTAGCAATTTTATTTTAAAAAATCCAATTGCAACAACAAAAATTAATACAAACTAAAAAAGGCAAAAAAGAAAGATAAAAAATAGAAGATGCAGAAAAAAATAGAAATAAAAGAAAAAGAAAAGAATATAATAAATAAAATAAATATATAAAGAAACAAGTTCCCGCTTTATCACAACCTGTGTGAACAATTTTAGGAACATATCACTTTCTCTTAATATACAACAAATTATCTGTTCTTCCCTCATTCCATCTGTTATCTATAGACACATCTTTAAAGTCTCATCATTTTAGACCTATGACAGTAAAAGTCCATTAAGTCCATTACCAGAGATAGCAATATATCTATTTGAACTGTGATCAAATAAATCAACTTTATATTTTTCCTTTTAACAACCTCCACCTTTTGTCTCTTCAATGTCCTAGAACTTGATTTATTTTCATTTTTTTTCTTTGATTCTATGTTATAAATAAATAGGAGGTGGTGCAAGACAGAGGGGCATGAAGAGTGCTGATCCATAAGGTGGCTGACCATCAGACATGACTGAATGGCTGAAGAAGACAATGATTTATGTTTCTTTTACTTTATATAGTTTTTATCTGTTATGATTATAATCCGGCCAGAGTTATCTTGAAGTAAGATGAGCAGCCAATAAATTTTACAAATAAATAATAAATAAATCAAAGTGTCCTTTAATTGTAATCTTTAGTTCTTTCTGATTCCCTGTAGTGTACAACCTTCAAAGCCTCAACTTGCCATGTCTTTTAAAAAGAAAAAAAAACACATTTTCCCATGGCAAAGATTCTTATGATTAATTACAAAATCTAATCTTAAATCCATCTGGATCCTTAGTTCCTCCCCCATTTCTTTCTCTGTCTGTCTCTGTCTGTCTGTCTGTTTCTGTGTGTGTGTGTGTGTGTGTGTGTGTGTGTGCGAGAGAGAGAGACAGACAGACAGACAGACAGACAGACAGACAGACAGACAGACAGAGACAGACAGACAGAGACAGAGAGACAGAGACAGAGACAGAGAGACAGAGACCTTAAACTTGTATTTAAAATATCTTTTGCTAAGGGTTGAATGAAACTCACCAAATATTTTTTGACTTGTTCCTAATAACTGAAAACAATTAACAATCAATTTCTGGAAATAATTAGGAAAAGAGATATGCAAACCCAGTGTCCTTTTAAAGGTAGTATCATAGTTAGAACAAAATGGCGATTTCTTTGCCTCACAGAGCTCTAAACTTGTGGTCTCCTCATATCTGGAGCACTTGTGGTGATCTTAGGCTCTCTCCTTATCTGGAGAGGTCTTGCAAAGACAAAGTCTACTTGACATTATAATCCTGCCAATACAGAATTGCATCTTTATTAAAGATGCTACACTGATTATCAGTTCAACTTGCTTTTTAAGTGGTAAATGAACTAGCACTGGAGACATCAAGCAATGCTTTGGCAGAATTAAATCTACCCTTCCAGTCTAGTCACTGAAGGAGGACCTGGGAAATTTCCCTTCCCTAGTAAGGTCTGAAAGAGATGCAATATTAATAATTCCCACCTAATGGAATATTTTCCCCCAGAAATACACGCAGTCCCTGCCAAGTTTCAGTTTTATAAATAAGTTAAAGCTATTTTATTTCAATGTGCTTTTTGTCATTAGTGGTGACTATTTTAGGAATTACTGTATATCAGGGATGTCTTTGCTTTTTGTGTTTACTTCTGACTTTTTAAAAATTGTTCTGATTGATTTTGTTATTTTGATGTTATTTTTCTTTTTCTTGATGTTTATGCTACCCGGAGTACTTTGGGACTGGGGCAAATTATACATATTGTAAAGGAATATGTAAAAAATAACCCAAAACAAATGCATTCTAATCTAGTGTTTATAAATCATAGCAACTGAATTCGTATAATTCACTGAGTCAAACTCCAGATATTAGGTCTACACTTAATCTGATGCAATGTTTTTAGTTTAAAGCAGAGGTGTCAAACTCAAGGCCTGAGGGCTGGATCCAGCCTTTAGAGTGCTTAAATATGGCCCACGGGGCTGCCCTGGAAACAGCAAAGGATCAGCCCACAGTGCTTTTGCCAGGGAAAATGGAGCTTGGGAGGACCACATGTGACCCTCCCAAGCTTTGTTTTTGCTATCAGAGGGCTGCAGGAGGAACCCCCAGTCCCACCCAGGCCACAGGTGCCCCTGAAATGAGTGGTGTCAACTGGCTATGCCCCACCCCCCCAGCCACATACACCCTGGCACCTGAGGTGAAACACAACACTGATGTGGCTCTCAATGAAATCGAGTTTGACATCCCTGGTTTAGAGTCATAGTGTTGCAGTGTTTCGAATACAGTATTGCAGGCTAACTCTGGCCATAGACAGGACTTTAATCCTGATCAGCTGAAGGTTGACTCAGCCTTCCATCCTTCTGAAGTCAGTAAAATGGGGATCCAGATTGTTTGGGTTAATATGATGACTCTGTTAACTATTTAGAGATTGCTGTAAAGCACTTTGAAGCCGTATATAAGTCTAAGTACTACTATAGCTGTTTGCTATTAGTTTGTACTAGAGTGATAAACACACAACTTGTGTGGATGAGGTCTTATTCAAACTCTCTCACTTATTCATAGAAGAGACTGAAAGAGTACATGGTGTCATTGCTTATCACCAAGTGACATTAGCATAGAGAAAAAACCATAGTAGAGTTGATTAAATAACTAGCAAGAAATTTGGTAATTTAATACCACAATTATTTCTAATGATAAACCATAAAACTTTTACATTTAACCATTTATCTTGGCTCTATGAGAGTTGACTCCCTTTGGCTAATCAAAAAAATTGGTAATTTAATACCACAATTATTTCTAATGATAAACTATAAAACATTTACATTGAGTCGTCTATCTCAGCTCTATGAGAGTTGACTCCCCTTGGCTAATCAAACCTTTTATTGTTTGCAAACATTGAGAATGATAGCTCTTTTCTCCAATGCATTTACCAGCTAATGTAGCAGTGTAAATATTTAGAATAGCATATTGGGATGTAGTTGGATTATTCTTATTTACATGAATAAATGTAAATATTTACAGCATGTTTTTTCCAGAATATTTATGCTGAAATTTAGCACAACTGCAGAGCCATAAAAGGTGCAATGGAGATTGAGGAGAAAGGAGAAGACAACGAAGAAAAAGCTATCCATGGTAAATATATTTTAGCATCCAATGCAAATAAGACTCTTTATAATGCTTCTTCGGACAGCACCTAACATGTTTTCCAACAAAATGAAAAGATAAACATCTATTTGATATAAATTGTAAAGGAAAAAATCTACCATTATGAAATTATGTGACAATTGTTAAGAAAGGGAAGGGAAGAAGTGGATATTGTTGAGGTAATTCCCCGTTAGGAGAATATGCGCATACAGGGAGACGTATTTGAGAGAAGTGTTGAATAATACACACACAGCACACAGATACACTGTACAGTAAATGTAGGGTTTTACTTTCAATAAAGGTTTAAGCAAAGTTCAAAATAAGCAGTCCAAAGTCATTCACAAGTTAAATCAGTCAGTTTTCAGTCCAGGGATAATCCAACAACAAAGTCCAGTGTGAAAAACAGTTCAGTATCAGACTTACATCAAATCCAAGAATATTAGGATGAACGGCAAAACTCTCCAACAGAAGGAAACAGACTCACTGAGACTTCTTCTGAGACTAAGACTAAAACAACCCAGGTTTCTGGCTCCATCTTATGGCCATTTTAGAAACCACACCCAATTACACTTTTAGGATTCTCTTAAAGAGACAGTATTAAAATGTCTATCCTGGTTTGTATATTTCTAACCCAAATACCTGTTAGGTGACTTACATTCCTAACAGATATCATAAAAATTAATTTTCTTGTAGACGTCCAACTAATCCATGATACAAAATGTATCTCTTACCTTTCTTCATGCCTTCCTAAAAAATTCTGGTAAGCCCAAACAACAACAACAATAGAAGGAACAACAGCCATAACAACAGCAACATATTAAACATATGCTGCCTGGCTATATTGAAATTTATAAGTTACAATGTCTCTGTGATGGAGGGAGGGAGGGAGGGAGGGAAGGAAGGAAGGAAGGAAGGAAGGATGCTTCCTACTAGCTCCACAAGGAAAGGCAATGAGGAAACTGGCAGAAAGTTGGAAGTTGCTTCACCCCTACTGCTTTTTTTGCCCACCTGTGGTCATTCTGTTTCTCTGTTTAGATAAGGAAACATCTCTGAAATGATCCAATGGGACATGGGTTGTGTAGTTGTTTATAAAGCTACAGCACAGCACAGTGCAGTGCAGTAGCTTAGCAAATTTAGTTATCTTCTCAGAGATATGATTGACAATTAAATTTATTATCTACACTAAAGAATATATATTTTTTCCAAATGAATGTGCATCCTATGGCAGCCTGACCATTGTATATTGCAATGACTGTTCAGCATCAATTCTAGTGTATTGTCCTTCTTAGCCTTTGATGCTCCAAATCAAACAGGGGTGACCACAAACAACAGAGTTAGTATTGTTTAACATTTAATACATAACAAGGCTAGTTGCTATATATCAGATGGCTCACAATACATTCACAATATAGAATAGGAATGTGCATTTGCCTGAAGTAAACTGCACAGTACCAAGTAACCACAATGCTGCACCACATTTATGAATATTTATTTATTTAGTCACAGTCATTCATTGTTTATATAGCTGTCCATTTCACAAACATGATTCTGAGTGGTGTACCATATAAAATAAGCCATAATGAAGACAACATGAAAAAGCATTCCATAGTTAAAAGGTTTTTTTAAAAAAATATTATAAATAGAGTACAAGAAGGCACATTATAGACAGTGTAGCCATTTCACTAATTCACAATTGGTTTGAGATCTCTCCCCCGCCCATGCCTGTTGACATAGCCATGTTTTGAGGGATTTCCAGAAAGTTACCAAAGATGGAGCCAAATCTACTTCAGAAGCTTTTTGGATGAGAAGTGCAACGTCTTCAAGCAAAAACAAAGAAAGTCCAGTTGCCTTTTGAAAAAGCACCTCTGGGACAATTATGACCTGGATGAGTGAGAATCTCCATAGACACTCAGTCAGCTATGGATATTTAAAGTGTAACATAGGGCCAGTCTCTCTTTTCTATCCCAGCTTATCCCAGAGTTTTTGTGGAGAAATGTAGTGTATACTTACACTGTGTATTTCCCCTGTAAGTTTCTGAGCAAAAAAGGGGGATATAAATATTTAAATTAAATAAATAAACTTACCAATAAAACCACAAGGAAACATCCTTAGAGTTTAAGTTTCAATATTTCATTAAGGAAAAACTCTACATCAAATTGAATTGTTTGTTGTCTAGAGTAAAAAATAGTGACTCCAGAAGTCAACTGACAATTTGGAATAGATGGATCTGTTTTCTCTGCTCTGTTTTTCACAATTTTCAAGATAAATTCTGTTTTTAATGAATGCTGTTAAGAATACTCCACTGTACTGGTTTGCTAAATTACACCTAAGTTGCAATTACGCATACTGCATTTTGTATGAATGCTGTACTATAATTAGTATTTATATGAGTCTTGGGCCACATAGAAACCTAATTTATACATGCTTCTTATATATATTTTTAGCGCCCTTAGAGGAAGAAATACAATTCAAAATGATCTTGATAAATTAGAGAAATGGGCTGAAACTAATGAAATGAAATATAATAGAGGCAAGTACAAAGTTACTTATTTA